ATGGCTCAAGTGGTAGAAGCACCAGCCTTGAGCAAAAGTAAATATCAAGCGAGAGTTGAAGACCCTGAGCACACACACAAACACACAAAAGCAGTGAGTCCAGTAACTAGATAACTGGAGTTTACCTAAAACACAAATTCAGTTCTATTTTCATTGTTTACCAGGTCTTCCTAATGAACTCCTTGAAGGTCCATATTGCTTTTACTTGGCTTTTGTAGCTATATGTGTATTTAGATTATGAAAAGACTATTGTCCGTAGGTGACTGTATTGATCAAGTCTTGGAGGAAAGTGTGATTTGTTGACAGATGGAGGCAATCCACTTCTTTATTCTCATGGAATTTTAAAAAACTGCCATAACTCTTCTGCCTGGTCACTCATTGTCCTATGTCTTTAGGTAACCAAAACATTTTTACTTACTTAGATATGGATTATCTTTCTAAAATACAGGGCCATTTATGTCCTCCTTGCTTTGTGTTTAGTTTTACTTTTCAATCATCTAGAACAAAAATTTCCATCTCTAGCTTGGTACCATCTAGAATCATTCTGGCCCTTGACACTGTACCCTCTGTTAGTGCATTGCCTAGAAATGCAAAAGCCCTACGCATGAAGAAGCCACCCTTAGAAAATAGCATCAGCTGCCAGAAGTTACTTTGGTATATGAAAATGACAAGCAGTCCAAAATATTTAAAATTTTTTAAATTTAAAGCTTAGTAGGAGAAAAACAAAGGTTGGGGTAACAATGTTCAAAAAAGAAATGTATTCATTACCTTCCTCATGTAACTGTAACCCCTCTGTACAGCATCTTTACAATAAAATAAAATTTAAAGTGTAATTTTAAATTGTTTTAATTTTTAATGTTTTAACTTATCCTTAGTGAAGTTTTATATATTTTATGCAAGTGATCAAAGATTGATTGGATTTAAAGGCAAATGGTTTTGTTAATGAAATGGTAAAGAAGACAAAGGAAAATATTAACCAAAAAATAAAAGAACCTTTAGTAGTGATAAAGGAAAGTAGTTGTCATAGTCACTCAATCTGGGATTCCATTGTCATTGGTTTTTCAGATCTTCAGGAGAAGCATTTAGCATGAAGGGTGCTTCTGCCAATGGAGGGATAATTATTTACAAGTGAAATAGTCAGTTGACACTTTGAAGTGGAAGACTTTTACTGCTTTTATGAAACTAAGAATCTCAAGCACAACTGTCTCATAAAACCTACAAACTGCAGATTTTGCTATACTATCCGGTCACACCTATATCTCTTAAATACTATACACAAATGCAAGGAGTCAGAGCCCTCAGAGAAGCAACTAGTTTTTAGATCAGAAGAAGGAAAGATAAAACTTGAGCCTGGCTGGGAATGTGGCTTAGTAGTAGAGTGCTTGCCTAGCATGCATGAGACCCTGGGTTCGATTCCTCAGTACTGCCAAAAAAAAAAAAAAAAATCTCAGGGACAGCGCCCAAACCTTGTGTTCCAGCCCCAGGACCAACACTGAGAGGGGTAGGGAGAACAAAAAAACAAAATCTTGAGCCTGGAACTCTTGTCTTGTCACACCAGCTAGCAAAGACGTTATCAAAGACTGCTAAGATCTACTTTGTAGACATCACGAATGCATATATGTCTATACCAAATATGCTTAAATCCATGAGTTCATAATTAGGCTTCTAAAACTAAAAATATAAACCTCATTGAGTATACTTGGAGAATATGAGGAGCCACTTCATGGTTTTAAGAACTAGTAAATGAAGAATCAGACATCTTCCCTGCCTTGTGTATAAGCTCTGAGCCTCAAGGTACCTCAGAAGGGAATTTCACTTTGTAAAATTATTTCAGCTAATAAAATCAAGCGTGAATAACAAGAGTATCACTGAAGTTTCTCAGGAGTTACTGGAGCCAGGCAAATGTCATCAGTGGCTCACAATATGATGAAAAGAGTCAGACATTCCATTCTTCCCAATGGGAATTGAGACACTGCATGAAGTAGATTGGTCTTTTCACTGTCCTCCCAACTGAGGCTTGAATCAACTGAAACCTCTACATCAATTACAGTTTGTAGGAAAAGGATGTACAGAATGAAATGTTAAACCACAGCTATGGGATGGTGTGTGCCAAATCTCCAAAGAGCACAGTTTGCTCAACAACAATAAAAATTACAAGGCAAGACTAGCAATGAAGACAAATCCTATAAACAATAGAAATTCAAAAGAGCCTATCAAATAATGGCAGTATTTGAGCCTTTGTTGTCAAACAAACCTTAAAATTGTAAGGCATCATAATGCATATTTGATCATATTCAGCAGTTGTTTTAGATGCGATATGGTAATATTTATGGTTTAGCACTTTTCATTGTCATTGTCTTTTAGAGACACACACTGAAATATTTATAAGTGAAATGATGTAATATTTGGTCTTTGCTCCAAAACACTCTGGCCTGAGGGGCCCTCATAAGATTGGCTGAGGACAGTGGATAGAAGTAAAAAGATAGAAGTATAAGTAGAAGAAACAGAATTGGTCAAGTATTGATTGTTTTTGAAACCAGGAAGTAGACACAACTAGTTTGTTGTCATATTTTCTTTCCTTTTGCATGTATTTGAACACTTCCAAACTAAATTAAAAGTTTATGTGTACATACTGGGCGTGGTGGTACATGCTTATAAGCCCAGCCCCTGGGAGGTTGAAGCAGCAGGATTTTGCAGTTGAGGCCAGCCTGAGTGGCATAGGGAAACCTTATAGGAAAGACAGAAAAGGAGATGGAGATAGAAGTAGAGAAGAGAAGGAAGGAAAGAAGGAAGGTAAGGAAGGATGGAGGGAGGAAAGGGAAGGAAGGAAGGAAGAAAGGAGGGAAGGAAGGAAGGAAGGAAGGGAGTCTAAACTGACATATTTAAGGGACAGTTTGTCTAGAGATATGTAGATATACATATGCTATGAAATTATTAAAATTGCAGTTTTTTTCACCAAGGTTTAAATGTTTAAAAAAGAATCCTTAACATTTGTAAGCAGTGACAATGAAAGTGCTGTGAAATATTTATGTGTAAAGCTGTAACCCAGTGGCATTCTATGCCTCCATCACAAAGAATGGCATCGCCCCATTTGTTAGGAAATGGAAAGACTTGGAAAAAATTATATTAAGTGAATGAAGTAAGCCAGGCCCAAAGAAACATAGGTCCCATGGTTTCCCTTACTTGCAATATCTAGTATATGTCTGAGTCAAGCAGAAAAGGTCAGATAAGTTGATGTTAGAGGAATGAACCCTTAGATATGTATTCAAATGTTTTTTTTCTTTCCTGCAATTGTTTCTAACACATTTATAAGATTATTTCTTTGTTGCTTTGTATGTCCCTCCCCCACAGTATAACCCCTGCTTTCACTGTATTTGATGTCGGTATAATTTGTGGAGGGGAAGGGGAAAAACAAATCGTTTAAATAGGGATACAAGTGGACCCATTACAACAATGAGATGTACAAGTTGTTATGTTGAAAGTCGAAAGCGAACTTTACAACTTTGGTGGGGGAGGTGGGGGGGGAGGATTGGGTGGGGGCAGGGGCGGGAGGATAGGAAGGGATGGGAAGGGATGGGAAGGGGAAACAACGGAGGAGGCAACAATGCTTGATAAGAAATGTACTCATTATCTTTCCCATGTAATTGTAACCCCTCTGTACAGTATTTTCACAATAAAAAAAAGAACTAAAAAAAAATAACTAGTATATGTCTGAGACAAGCAGAAATGGTCAGATAAGTTGATGTTAGGCGAAATGAACCCCGAGATAAGGGCTCAAATGTTTTTTCTTGCTTTCAATTGTTTCTAACATATTTATAAGATGATTTCTTTGTTGCTTTGTGTGTCCCTCCCCCACGGTATAACCCCTGTTTGCACTGTATTTGATGTTAGTATTATTTGTGGAGGGGAAGGAAAAAAACAAATGGTTTAAATAGGGATACAGGTGGACCCATTGCAACAATGAGATGTACAAGATGTTATGTCAAAAAACGAACTTTACAACTTTGGCGTGGGGCAGGATGGGAAGGGATGGTAAGGGGAAACAAAGGAGGCAACAATGCTTGATAAGAAATGTACTCATTACCTTGTAATTGTAACCCCTCTGTACAGTATTTTCACAATTAAAAAAAAACGATTGCTCTGGTGCAGAATAGTGTACACCCAAGTACCCTCTTTTTTGTTATTGTTATTCTACATTTGTTTTAGCATCAATCAGGTGTACAAGGAGGTTTGATTTTGACCAATTTATAGATGCATACAATGTACCTTGATCAGACCCTCTGTGACTGCCTCCTTCCTGCTCCTCCCTTCCTAAGCTACTCTCAGCAAGCTTCATTGATCCACTCTCACATAATGTACATAAAGTATATTGACTATTATCACTCTCCTTTGCCCTTTCCTCTCACCCACCCTTCCCATTAGCACTCCCTCCATAGGACTTGTTTTACATTCCTGTCATTTTTACCTCTCCACGCCCCCCACCCTGCCATGTATGTGCTTGATGATTGTTCAAAATGGTTTCACCATGGTATTCCACATATACAGCATTGTAATCAGATTGACCCTGTCATTTACCCTCACTTTCCCCATCCCCACTACCCCTAGTATTCAACAGCTTTCAATGAGTTTCACTGTAGTATCTCCATTCACATGTGCAAAGTATTTAGGTATTGTTTGCCCTGTAATCTCTTATTACTAACACCTAGACTTACAGTCAAAAGTGAGACTCCAAGTTGTGTATTCAATTAGTTATTTCCATTTCAAAACCTGGAGTTTTGAGTCTAACGTAAAGGATGTAAATGGTCCTGCATGAAATGTCCTAATTTGGTAAACTCAGGGCCAAGGGGAGAGAAAGAGAGTGAAAAGGCTTTATTAGAAAAGGACTTAAACATCCTAGAACTCTGTCAAGGGTCCTCTCCTTCAGTAGAAGTTTTTCATGTTTCTAAGTTATTTTTTATTCTTATGAGTAAATAAATGTATTATTATTTGTTTTCTCCTAGTTGGGGAATGGCGGTCAATGTGTATTCTACCTCGATAACCCAAGAAACTATGAGCAGACATGACATCATTGCATGGGTCAATGACATAGTATCTCTAAACTACACAAAAGTGGAACAACTTTGTTCAGGTAAGAGATTGTTTGAACTGTTGATGGTTCTGCGGGATGTGATTGATTGATTGATTGTAGGTCCTGGGGCTTGAACTCTGGGCCTGGGTGCTATTCCTCAGCTCTTCAGCTCAAGGCTAGTGCTCTACCACCTGAGCCATAGCACCATTTTGTGGGATGTGATTTTTATAAAATATATGTGATCATATATTTGGGATGAGAAAAAGTATGTATCAGTAATTGATAGATAGTTGAAAGGGGAAATTTGAGGCATAATTGAGGAATATAAGGGAGAAAAATACCTATAATTATCTGAGAGATGGAGCCATTCTGACAGGCATATGAGTTCCTCTTGCTTGTTCTCTCTAATGCCTCTCTGTAATGCAGTCCTGGCCTCTCCTCCATCATGCCATTTACCACCACTCTTAATGATTAAAACGCAGTAGATCCTTTGTGATCCTCTCCTATGAATATCCACCTTTGGTCTCACTGTGTGACTGTCTGGAAACCCTCTATAATTTATCATGTCCCAGTGTATTTTTTTTAACCATCCAGTATGTTTACTTGTAGATTTATAGGCACATTCTAGTTATCGCAAATAAGGGAAACAATCCAACCTATGTTTCTTTGGGTCTGGCTACTTTGCTTAATATAATTTTTTCCAAGTCTTTACATTTCCTTACAAATGGTACAATATCATTCTTTTGATGGAAGAATAGAATTCCAATAGATATATCACATTTCCTTCATCCACTTAGGATCATCTGTCAAGGCTCAATAGCTATGTGCAAAATGATATTTTACAAAATGAACTCCAAGAAATGGAAACAAGAGATGGTTTTTGTTGCTATTTTTGCTGTCTTTTTCCTTTTGTCTTGTTTGCTAGTTTGTTGGTCCTTTGGAGGGTAAGGGGGGCACAGAAAAGATGGGACAGAGTAAATAGATGCAGCAATGCTACTCACTAGATGCTATATGGAAAATGAACTCTAAACTTGTGGGTGGGGATGGAAGGGAAAAACTGCAAGAGAGAAAGGGAAGAGGTGACATGGTTCAAAAAGAAATGTGCTCATTGCTTCACCTACGTAGCTGTAACACCTCTGTACATCACCTCTACAATACTAATAAAATACATATTTAAAAACACAGTAGATTTTAAACTACACGCCTATAGGCTCATACCTGTAGTCCTAGCTCATGTATGTAATCCTCAGGAGACTGAGATATGAAGATCTCAGCATGAAGCCAGCCCAGGCAGGGAAGTCCATGAGATTCTTATCTCCACTTAACCATCTAAAAGCGAGAAGTGGAGCTGTGGTTCAAGTTGGAGAGCACCAGCCTTGAGTGGAAAAAACTAAGGGACAGTGTCCAGGCCCTTAGTTCAATCCCCAGTAGTAGTTTGCTTGTACGTGCACGAGCATGCGCACACACACACACACACACACACACACGCATACACACACACACACACACACATCACAGTAGATCTTGAAACAGTCTTTCTTAAAAACTTGTAAGATTCCTCATTGCCCCTCTTACAGGTTAAAATTCAGTACCTACATAGCTGCTAATGTCCTTTGCCTTCTGGCTGCCTCTTCCCCGTTGTCTGAGGTTTATCTCCACATTGCTGTCAGTTGTGCCTCAGTTCCACAAAACACCCTAAGTTTCCTAAATCTCCTTCCATTTGGCATCTCATAGTTTTGTTCATGCCTCTTTTGCTAAGAAGGTCTTTCCCCATCTTTGTTTGTGGCAAAATCCTGTTTACAGTTTCAAGTCTGTCTGGCTCACCTCCTACACACTCTTGTGAGGTAGCCTCCAGGCTCCCAGGTTCTGAGATGTTCCTGAAACATCTCCATCCCCCAAGGATAACAGCTGCCATACTGTGTTGTAATGTCTAGCTCCTGCTGCTCCAGAGACACAGAGAGTTCTTAAGAGAGGCATATATTTTACTTTCTGTTGAACACCTGAGGTAGCATTGTATCGACTGAGTACATCTGTATATGGAATTAAAAATAGAAATTCAATTTCAATAATAAAAAGTAGGGACATGTTGTAAAGTAATGCATTCTTTGGTTTAAGCATTTATCAAAAAAATAAATAAGCCTTTCTTGGAAACAAAAAGGTATTTTTCTTCTTGTAAACTAACAAGTAAGAGATTTCCTCTCTGCCTCTGGCTCTAACGTGAAATGGTATTCAGTACAAGATCCATTGCTGTTGAGCATTTTGAGCTTTCCCATTGGGTTATGTTTGAAAAAGATTTATCTTACGCAATGCAACTCAAATTTGGAAAACCCCCAGTAGTCAATCTCAGATCATGTCTGAGTCCAGTATCACCACTTATTCTTTTGTTACCAGGTCTGGAATTTATCAGAATACATTAGAGTACTTAACTTTCAATGCTATTCACAGCTCTTTCTTCCTACTCATTTTTTCTCCTGTTTCCAAGAGATTGGCATGATCCTAATCATTACCTCACCAACCTCACGTGACTAGACCTCAGATGAAGTCCCAGCGCTGTGACTGAGATCAGTAATAGGGGATAACTAATAAGTTCTTTATCTTTCAGAAACAAGCAATATTACTCAGGCATGATGGTATATTCTTGCAATGCCAGCACTTGTGAGGCATAGGCAAGGAAATCATGAATTTTTACCCAGACTAGGCTATATAGTGAATTCCAGAACTTCAGAGATAACATAACAAGACTCAGTCTGAAACACACACACACACACACACACACACACACACACACACACACACACACACACACACACACACACACGAAAAAAGCAGGCTTAGATTATGATGATGATGAATTATTTTTGGCCTATTGAAATGGATCCAGAAGTTACTTTATTAAAACAACCGTATTTTACCTTATTCAACTTCAAATGTATTTTTTGTACCCTATTCAACTTTTCATGTCTATTCACTTGAATATTACTGTACAGTTATTCTTACTATGCATTCTGGAGCTCCCCAACATTTTATTTTCATTTCATTTTTATTTTTATTTGCTTGTTACAAATGATCAAAAAAAAGCATTTCTCTTATAGCAGTCACTTTTGTTGCATATACCACTCTTTAGGTGCAGTTGTTTGTGAATTTGTCCCTTTTCCCACAGTCCCTGACAGGCAGTGCTTCTCCTCAACAGAGCTCATTTTTCAGATGAATGGAAGGCAATTTCAACTGTTAGGAAACAGAGATAACCACAAATTAGGTGTGATCATGTAGATAAAGGAATAGTGTCAGTTATCAAGAAAAAGAGAAGAAGGAACGGAATAAGGAAAAGAGTGGTGGAGAACATTCCCAGTCCTGACTTGGCAGTGTTAAAGTAATCCAGACAATGTCTTAAGGACTCAAAAATGTTTTGGTAGCAATGAAATAAAAGAAAATTCTTTAGATATAGTAATGAATGTTTATGAACAATATACATAATATTTACAGATCTTTAGCATTTTCCAGAAGGAATTTCAACAAAATGCTAATCCATAGTAGTGAAGGATTCTTAATATAATTCACTTCAAACATTGATCTATATTCACCCATTAGTTTTAATAACATCGCTGTTATCAAATGGGACTTGGTGAAAGCTGTAGACACCATTTTGATCACTGTTCAACAAATATAATTTTCATTAGGACAATTTGATGGTTCAGAAGGAGAAAATAGATTTATAGGTTCTGTTCTGCTCCAAAACATGTTTCTTATTAGAAAACAAGTATGTTTTTCCCTACAGTGGAGAGACAAATATTTTATTTCAGCCAGTAGGTTTCTCAAATGTATAAACTATGATCCAGATATACATATAAACTTTGAAAAAGCAGATACTCGACACTCTTGACCTTCAAAGACAGTACCTCTGGGTGCAAGACCTAGACTGCATCTTTTTTTTTTTTTTTTAAGTAACCCAAGTACTTTTATCTGCAGCCCAGAGCTTGCAGCACATTTTTGAGAAACCCCAAACCACTAAAAGGGAAGTTAAATTATCCCAAACTTTTTTGGCATGGTTTCCTTATTCATAATTTAACCTGTGACTTTTGTCTTCAGCAATGATATTTGGCAGGAGAAGGCTGTCTTTCTATTTATTTATTGATGAACGTATTTATTTAAACCTTTCATTGTTTTAGAAGACATCAGAGCAGCGAGGTTAGTACTGTGAGGACAAAAGCAAATCTAAATATTGTTGGCCTAAGAGACTTTCTTTATGCATAGTCATTTTTTTTACATTTTTTATTGTCTTCACGTATTTGTGCAGTTTCAGTTTACATGTTAATTTATGAGTACAGTGTATCTTCATGAGCATTACCTTTTCCATCATTCTCCCCCCTTCTCCCAATCCCACACATCCCTTTAGTTAAAATTCCTGAAAATGCCTGAGTTTTTTTCCTCCAACACATATTGTAATTTTATTTTTTGTTGTGACATTGTACTTCAGCAGTATGCTTAGGGAAAAAAAATTACAAAAATACCTTCACATCGTTAAACTAATTCTTTTCTGATTCAACATCCTTTCTTACCTTTTTTTTTTCCCCAAAGACTTACGCTCTAATCCTGAGGCTCTCACTTTGAATGTTTTTCCCACTTGCATTATTTCCTTTATTTAAAAATAAAATCCAGCGAAGAGATCTCCTTGTAGCCATGTGTTAAAAATAACATTGGGTTTTCTTCAGCTCAGAAAGAGCTCAGAGACTGCTTCAGATTGACATTGCATTTTCTTCATAATTTTTCTCCCTTTACATAACATCCTATTTGTTTCCATGTATGCATTTTTAAAAAGCTCTTCAAAGGAAAGGAAGATGGAGAAAGAAGGTAGGGCACTTGGAAGTATGCTGTTTGAGTTGCAAAACAATGAAAATGACTCACTCTTATCTCCTGTTATTTTACCCCAAGGATGTAACCTTAAGAACGGTTTTCTTTGAACATTAAATCTGGGTCATGTAATTATATACATGTTTTGTAAAAAGCAACTTTTAAGTTTCAAGTGAAAAGTAGGTTGTGGAAATGGCTATCCATGGAGATAT